GCTGGACCTAGCCATGTCCGTGATCGTGCAGAATTCGGGCCACCAGATTTCATTTTCGGGCCACCAAAAATTGAAAATCAATGATTTTGGTGGCTCGATCGGGCCACTGAAAAAAAAAGTTAGTGTCGAGCCTTGCTATAGCCATAGGGCTATATAGTACTAAACGTAAAACACTACCCAAATAAAATTGACCAGGTTCTCTTCTCTTAGAACACGAGCAGCTCATCGTATACTATAGCTCTAGGACTATAGCCCGCGTACAGTTGCCGCAGGGTACTGTACGCGGGCTGTACAGGCAACTGTACGCGGGCTATCGTACTAGAGCTACTAGTACTAATCGTACAGTTTTTTATACAATATTTTAACATTTATATTATTATAGGCCGGAGTCCATAATTATACACTGGATTAGTGATAATCATAATGCCACGAAAGAGGAGAATGGGAGTGAAAAGGGCACAATCAAAGCCAAAGTTGCCAGAGGGCGATGAAGGCCAGAATCTAAGTGTTGAAGAGCGTACGGAGAAGCTCCAGCTGTTCCTTCATGATTACGATGTCAGATGTAAGAGACTAGGTTTTATTATTTAAGTACTACCATGCAGTTTGAACGTTTTTTTGTAACCTGAACGCATTGGAAAATTCCTCAAAGTACATCAAATGGACATTAGTATATATATTTGGTGCTATCTCAGTATCTGTTTAAAATTACAGCTGTATAATCTAAAATTGAAAATTACTGTAATTTTTCAGTGGAGAGGATAATAAAAGAGATGGAAGCGGAGTGTGCTCGTCTATTAAAGCACACTGAAACCCTTGGCAAACTGCAGATATTTAAATTGCCAAAGGTATGTATGTGTACGATGTAAATAATGCAGAACACTAATTAGTCTAGAATTTGAGATTATATTAATATGATATCTATTGCATAACGAATAGTCATTAGTGTATGCATATATATGTCTGTTATCGGCTCATTGACTTTTATATAACCTCAAAGCTATTGTTGGCGCTGTATATATATATATATATATATATATATTTTATATCTTTGATATATTATATATTATTTTGTCAAGTGTAATTAATAATACTATATTTTGTTTTCTTTTATAGCATATACGTGCCATGACACGATTAAAGTTCCTTGGTGAGAATATATACTGGTACAAGTAGCATCTGCATTCTCTATTCTCAATCTGGTGTGTTAAATATGTGTGACCATGTCCCCGAGTTATTTCCCTCCATCAACCATGTGAGATATAGCGGCAATATAAAGAAGCTTACGGTGGTCAAGAAGTATCAGATTTAATTTCTTATGGATAAATAGAATGCAGTAACATTTATTATTATGATTATAACACTCATTTTTTTGGTTAATAAACCCATAATTTAGTAAAGTAGTCTTTCAGCTGTTAGAAACTACCTTTTTAAAATTTTCCATTATATCTCAGGGGTAGAAATTAACTTTTGAACACGGGAGTCCAACCCTCCCCTCAAAAAGAGTTTTTTTTTCTTTTTTTGCATATTTTTAAGATTCATGCGGTTGCACGTCTGCTAAAATTTTCTTTGGACATTAGCTGAAAAAATACGGTAATTCCACAAGGCCGTGCTCTGTAACGAACTAGTTAGCTAGTATGGCAGAATTTTCAGGGAGTCACACGGATTCCTGCATATGTCAAATCAGGGAGTCCGACAGTAGACAGTAAATCAGGGAGTATTTGACTCCGGACTCCCGTTAATTTCGCACCCTGTATCTCATATACATACTATGTTTTAATTAGTTTTGATATACTTGAAACTATAGTATTATGGTTTATATGAATGCTAACTGTAAGTTAAACTTTGTTGTGTGAACGTGGGCATAATAAAATAGCAAGTAAATTAAAGCATTACGTATATTAAGTATTTAAGTGTACTCCTGATAAAATTATATTTAACAGAGATGGGCGGTACAGTCGAGGCAGTGCAGGCACAATATATTGATGCTGAGGTCGAGGGTCCAGAGACCAATGCTGAGATGACATTGTAAGTTGAATGAAATATAAGTTTATTCCTCACTGTAAGTGTAATGGTCTACTCTCACTATCACTTGGTAGCCTTGTTGTTTCTTGTTAAATCTGACTATCTCTTGTGGATCCCATTATTGCTTGTATATGTATATGTTTTCTGCAGAGATAAAATACAGGAAGATTGTGAAGTAGAACAGAAACGACCCACTCGTACTAGCAAGAAGAAGGCAAGATCCACTAAGAAGAACACCAATAAGGAAAATGATATTATGCCCCCACCTACTGCTGCTACTGCGCAGAGACCCAGAAGGTATACCAGGGGAAATGAAAATCTATGTGACACATTTTACATTTAAGGATATTGCTTCTAGTTAATTTAGTTTCAAGAATTTTTAGGTATAGTAGTATATAAGTAAGTATATGAGTCACCCTGTTTATGTGCAACCATGAGTGAATTGAAGTGCAATGAAATTTCTCATAATTGCACAGAGAAAATGTAATATTTGGAAATTAAAGATTCCACTTCTGGATTCGCATTTTGTCACGTTCAGCATTCATCATGTCTTTCTCGGGATACATGTTTTTTTTAGAAATATAAGAAATAAGTTCCAAACACCACTACACAACTCTCAAGCAAGCGTTAGAAACTGGAACACACCTCTTATAACACCAAAGTTTGATCCAAGGTTTGTATGTTCAGAGAATCTGAATATGTTGTCCACAAATACAGAGAAAGAGAAAAGCACATTGCCATTATTATCTAGTGTTTATTTAATATAAATTTTATACCTAGTATGCAAACATTAGTATCATAAATGACTTGAATCCAAGATATGCATATATATGTATTACTGCAAAACCGTTTATTCTGTACAGTTGATCTATTCTAAAACAGTAGTTACTAGTAGGTAATCAAATTACCAATTGTTGTATACGGCTTCTTGTGATTCTTTTGTGATAGCTGAATATCTTCTTGCTTGTAAATAAAGGTTGCCTAAAACACCGGCGCTTAGGAGACCGAGGCAAGGAGAGATGCTGGTGTCTATGTCGGGGAGTCCCGTGGCCAGCACAAATCCCGACACGTTTACTAAGCCAGAAGTCTACATACCACTTCATGGACGAGCCGAGGTACATATCATTCCGATCAACTATGACAGATGCAGGGCATGAAATTCAGATTTTTTTGCACCGGCCCAGAGGACTGGCAACAGCACTTTTTTATCTACTGGTCTACCGATCGACTGGCATGCTCCAAAATAGGACATTCAAACCACTCCCATATGAGTAACAACTGTATGCAATTTGAAACATGTGGGTCAAACGATTCTTGAGTTATCGTTGACCGTAGGCAGACACTGAAATGCATAGTGAAATTGCCAAAATCTACCTAATTTGCATCATTTAAAAAAAACATCAAAACCTGTATGATATGTTTTGGGGCCAGTCCTCATTCATTCACATACCAGAAATGAGCAAAAGCCGTTGAACCTGAACTGACTTGTGGCTATTTCCATATTTGCCAAAAAGTGGACGTGGCTCGAAAGTAGGTCGACTGACCTGCTCCAAAATAGGACGATCAAACCTCTCCCATAGGAGTAACAACTATATGCAATTTGAAACATGTGGGTCGAACGGTTCTTGAGTTATCGTTGACCATAGCCAAATGTTGACGGACGGATAGACGGACGACACACCATGGCAATAGCTCATCTTGACGATGTCAAGGCGAGCTAAAAATGTAGGTAGGCCCTACTCGCTAACACGGCTGAAACCACAGGCTCGGTTTTCCCAATGTTGCTGGCCCTCCAAATAATTTGCTGGCATATGCCGGTGAGCCGGTGCTAATTTCGCGCCCTGCAGATGAAATGACTAGGTTACTGTGTATGTAACCCAGTGTTGCACGTTACACATCACATCACATATTTTATAAGTACATCACACCTAAAACCAGTGTTGAGCCCTATAGGTACTTATAAGTGTCATATATGATTTGTACCATGCTAATAAATAATTTGGTGTACCAGAATTTTTTTTGCAAGAGTGCTTCGTTAAACAATACTACCTTGACTGCTGGTAAAATCAGTTAAGATTTCCTTGGCTGTTCTGGTGCAATCAATCAAGATTTCTGTTGCACAAAAAAGTTATCAGTAGGTGAAAGGCTTTGCAGAAGTTTAACAATCTTAGTGGATATATAATTAGATTACATGCGGAATTGACCAACTGTAGAATTGTAGTGATTTTAAATATCACTGGGTTTACTCACCCTTCACAGACCATGATAGCTAGACTGATGATTGATTCTACACCATATGTGAGAACAAACGCCAGTATGATCAGGCCAATTGTGACAGTAGCTTTATTCTGCTGTGTGGCATTTGTCAACTGCTGCTCATTATCTGACCAAGCCTGAGGCTAAGTAGTTGCACCGATCTGTCTGAACTGTAAAGTGGCTATTCGCCAAAGCCGCCAGTACAGAAACAGCACAGCTATGCGAGGGTTAACGGCATATGACAACGAAAACAACTAAATTATAGGCATCACCTTGCAGCTCGGGCAAACATGGTTTCTGTTGAAGCATCATCAGTGCTGTGTCAATCCCTGCTGTAATCCACAATGCAATAATGGCACCGGTTACAACTGAAAACTCGGTCAGTTACTATAAACGTGTGTAGTGCAGAAGGTGCATTATGGCCACATACTTCTCTGTTGCAACAGCAAGCAAGTGCACAAAGCTGCACGTAGGCAGATATAGGACTGCAAAGGTTAACATGAATTTCTACCAGATTGGGCAGAGGTGATCTATGTTTCTAAGCTCTATGCTCTTCGTACTCCATATGTTATTAGTTTTCCGTGAGCTGTTGTCGTTCCATGTGCTTTTATCATGCCATGTATTGTTGTTTTTCCATGTGCTGTTTCCATTCTTTAAATTGTTCCCATTCCATAAGCTGTTCTGATTCCAAGTGCTAATTGTCATTCCATGTGTTTTTCACACGCAATGTCATGTAGATTTCCAATGCTCTAAGCAGCTCTATAGATATTCCATATAGCATAATCACTGATGGCCATGTAAGCCAGTACGTAGTTTCCATGAGTTTGCAGAGCTGGGAATCTGCAGACAGACGTTATAACAAGTAGTTGTCGAAAACAATAACTATACTGATGGTGGCAGTTATTGTAACAAGGGGTATGTGCCAAAATAGCCACTGCAGCTAGAATTGTCACTAAAACTCATTGGTGGCTTGCCATGTTGAATTGACAAAACTGCTAGTAGAGTTATCATGGTGTGAGGTAACTTGGGACTGAACTGGTTGTTGATCCTATTTACAGCAGAGAACGATAAAAAAACCAACCCACAATGAATAAGAGACACCGTATACCGAAGATTTGCAACAAATACCTCGTATACAGTTATGTGTCCTTCAACACTCATAGATGTAGCCTGCAATGCGCACAGAAAAATGCCTTCTGGCTACTGGCATGTTTGAAACTTAGTGTTATGGAGTATGTCACCTCGTCATGCTCATCAGAATTGTTAGCTACTCGTGGTTACATGCTATGTGTTTTTTTCAACTATTTAATGTATACAAGGGATCACCGGTTTGTATGCGTGCGCAGTACACACACCGTTCCAGTAAGAGCATTTGTGTGACAAGAAAAGGTTATTGTGCTGTAATGTTATGTTATGTTGTTATGTTACAGTCAGGGGTTAATAATGACAAATATTTTTCATTGTCATGAAGTTGTTTGACAAAAATTATCATTTTTGTTTCATTAACAAAAATTCGTCATTATCAACCCCTGACACAGTGTATATGTACATTCTACAGAGCACTTTAGTAAAACATGACAGCTTCTAGAATCTAGAGCATTTCCCGTAAAAAAACGTTGTTGGTGTTACTAGTTCCATGTGGTTTGACCGTTACAAATTATATTCCAAATCTATTAACACGCCAAAAAACGTCATTAATGGCAGAATCGGTCATTCCATATTCACCGTATCCATATTGAACCGTATATTGAACATTATGAAACCGTTTCCATGTTGTTATACAACCATGCTCATAAAGGGCTAGTAAATGCTTTGGTAAATGTGTGGTAGTAGTGTGCTACTACGTTGTACCTTCAAAATGGCAATCACCATTTTTGGCCATAACGATATTAGAAGAATACTGATAGCATGAGTGATAAATATAACATGGGAGAACTTAATTGAGGCCAGCCGTACATGGAAATGAGCAAATCATCTTATTCGGGAGGTTGAGGAATGAACCGGAGTCCCTCTGCTTTGTAGGTTCTGCAGTTGACGTCTGACATGGAAGTGAACACAGAGAACATGCCTGCAATCGACGATGATACTCGCAACCACATCGTCATGTTGCAAGACAAGATAAAGCAGCTGCTGCAGCTGCCAAACCCATAGCTTCAACTGCCGTCCACGTAGATGTTGTTACTCACGACGTATTTGAAGTTGACAAACACGTATGAAGCTTCTAACCACATAGGTGCTGCTTCCAGCCGTAAACCATGTAGATGTATCTGTCAGCCACATAGATGCAGCTGTTAACCATGTAGATGCAGCTGTCAACTATGTAGATGCAGCTGTCAACCATGTAGATGCAGCTGTCAGCCACATAGATGCAGCTGTCAACCATATAGATGCAGCTGTCAACCACATAGATGCAGCTGCTAACCACATAGATGCAGATGATGTAGATGCAGCTGTCAACCATGTAGATGTATCTGTCAGCCACATGGATGCAGCTTTAATAAATAATATAATATTAATATAGGGCCTATAATACAATATAATCGGTCTCGTAATACAAAGTGATTAGCAAGACCGTTTCTTGGAGCTACTCGAGCACTGCGGCACTAGCTCTAGTACTATAGCCCGCTTTCATTAACTCCTGCGGCACCGCGCAACAGGCAAAACCACTGGCAGCAAGAACAAGCCCGCACGTACATCACACACGCGGCCATTGACTATAATATAACAACATTGTTATATTATAGTCAATGGCCGCGTGTGTGCTGTACGTGCGGGCTTGTTCTTGCTGCTAGTGGGCAAAACAGGCAACAGGCAACGCGTAACAGGCAACCGCCTGCGGCAGTTAATGAACGCGGGCTAGCTATGCGGCACTAGGTCTAGTAACTATAGTCTATAGCTCTGACATACTAATAGCCATAGGGTCTATGTCCCCCAGGGTACTGCCGGAACGTACCCTGGTAACTATCTGTTATGGTTAGGAGTAGGCGTAGGCGAGGTACGGTCTGGCATATTAGATAGTACCAGCAGAGTATATAAATCACGTTGATTTATATGCTCTGGTACCAGGGTACGTACCCTGGGGGACATAGACACAGGCACTTGGGACAGAGTCAGTAAAAACTGAAAATAATATGAACGCACATTCACAAATACGCCCTACTACCGTACCTCTCAATTACAGTCCCACTGTTGCGTCACTGTATATCAACTTTCCTTCATAAAAACCTATGTAAAAACTAACGCCGGACGCTCCCGCACTCGCCGCTGCGAGTGTGCTGTGTCGCCATGATAATATATATTAATATTTTTAATTCAGTTTTTACTGACTCTGTTCCAAGTGCCTGTGGACATAGACCCTCTCAGCATAACTATAGCCCGCGTACAGTTACTAGATAATATACAATAATGTAACCCAACACAAGAGTAGGGGGGTTGGGTTACATAGTACACCCCCTACTCTTGTGTTGGGTTACATTCAGGGGTCGAAATTAGATTTTTATTATGGTATCTATTCGGGATACCAGGTATTGAAATCTGGTATCCCCCCAAAAGATCTGGTATCCCGGATTTTTTTGGATAGTAATTTCAACAATGTTGGTATCCAAAATCTTGAAATATGCAATAATAGCATTTGAAAATTATTAATATGTAATGTAATTATTATATAAAAATCTCGCTCCCGCGTCTAATCATTAGTGGGCTGAGTGCATTCGCGAGCATTTCATTTTAACATAGATATATACACATACGCCTCCACAGTACACTGCAGACGTATTGTCTAGACGCATTGTCTGGTTCGCTTGATACAATCATGATACAATGTATACACACTCGCTTACTATATCCCGTTTGTCTCGCAATGGGTGGTCCAAAAGATAATAGAAGAACACGACGTTTCGTGCGCTACTGCGACACTTCGTCAGGTGATGCGGCGACGTTGCGCGTGAGGTTATATATATCCCCCGGTTGGATTGAGCGGTACAACTGCTGGACAGGCGCTGCTGTGATTGGCGGTCTGACGCATGATGTTTCTTGCGCCGTGCCCGGCCGGCTGGCGCCTGCAAGTTCCCGCGTCGAAATCGTCTGGCTAGCGTTGGCTGTAATCTCACCTGTTGTGGGTCTGCCGTCGTTTGCTATCGTAACGTGTGATTCATGGCGGCGTATCGTTGACATCCAGAAATTGGATTACGGTGGAAAAAATTGGATTGGAAGAAATTGGATTACGGTGGA